CCGCGATAACATTGCAACTTTATACGTTTATTGCGTAACGATTCCTTCCAACAGTTCACTAACAGATAGGTAAATACAAGATTCAAATCTCCACGTTTGCCGTATAAGCAAAGTGATAAACCGTCTAAATCGAAGAGAAACCATAAAACTACTATGTAGCCGTCCAGTCTTGTAGCTATCGGAAATATAACTAGCCGAGCTTGATGTCGATTTAGTATTCTGCTTACAAATAATTTAGCCAATCATAGTACGTTAATTTTAGCCAATAAAACAACCTCATTAATAGTTATTTACCTATCAGCTCGTTTCCCTATTACCCAATCATGTACAAGGCCAAAGTCACTTTCCGCCAAAATGCAAGGAATGTAAACTTGTGTATATAAGTGGGTGTTTTGACACATCACGGCAGGAGTTTCAATAAAGTCATCTGTTATAGTGTACACCAATTCGTCTCTTGTTATCCACCCCTGAACCTTATCTTAACAATTACACACATTGTTTTGGTGCCGAGACCAGGATTCAAGATGACCGAACGACCAACTCTTTCCAAACTGAAGGGAACTCGCTCAGCGCATCGTGGACAGATGACGAAGCTCCTGAAAAAGGCTGACGAAAACGTCAACGTTTTCCCCCAAGACAACATTGAAGGTGCGTTAGATTCACTCACTGCTATCCATAACTTGATCTCATCGAAGTACGAAAGTCTTATCAACCTCGACAAACAAATAGTCGAACAGACGGAAGAAAACAGCTTGGAGGCGACTATCACCGAATCTGACGATTACCTGACCGATATATACGAGAAAAAACATATTTTATCTCGATTTATCGAAAGAAAGTCGCGAGCTGATACAAGCCCACCGACAAGCCCTGCTGTCCCCGCTGCTGCATCAACCAGTTCAGCAGTCACCATTGCCGCTTCATCCACCCAACCTAACAGAACCATAAACCTACCAAAGTTATCGCTGCCAACATTCAACGGAGATGTTCTGAAATGGGTGAGTTTTCGAGATGCATTTTATTCCGCAGTTCACAACAATCCCAATCTCGAAAAGATTCAAAGGTTTCAGTACCTACACGCTCAATTGTCCGACGAAGCCGCTCACACTATTGAAGGATTGACACTAACAAATGAAAACTATGATCACGCAATCGACCTACTGGAACAAAGATATGGACAGAAACACAAAGTAATAAGTGCCTACATGAAAGCTTTATGGGATATGCCTAAACCATCTAGCGATTTCAACAGCTTACGAAACTTTTACGACACCTTAGAAAGTTATATTCGTGGGCTCAGTTCGCTCGGAAAATCCGAAGAATCCTATGGCGATCTACTCGTACCTATCGTCATGGAAAAGTTGCCGCCAAATACACGAAAACAGATTGCGCGGGATCATGGAAATAACGAATGGAATCTACCCGAACTTCGTCAAGCCATCCATAACGAGATGGACGCTCTACAAGCTGGATTCTCCGCCGATCTTCATGACCGCGAATTGTACACAGAAACCCCGGTAACTGCGGCATTCTACACGGGAAGTGACCCGGTCACTTCACGGAAATCGATCCGGGCGAGACCGACTAAATCTATCGTATGTGCGTACTGCAAAGATGCCCATCCGTCGATACATTGTAAAGTTGTGACTGACTACAATAAATGCCTCGAGATAATAAAACGCGATCGTTTATGCTTCAACTGTCTCGGTAAACACAAAGTTACGGACTGCCAATCTAAATTCAGTTGTCGCGCCTGCAGGAGGAAACATCACACTTCTCTATGTAAGGGAACCTCTACTAGTAACGACAAGAGCTCCACTACTCCAGTAACTCAAACACACGTGAACTTTACTACTACCGCGAATACCGCATCGCATAATGGACCAGTTTTATTGAAAACCGCCGTAACTGAAGTATTCGCGGGTAGCGAAACTGCAACGGCTACGATATTGTTCGATGAAGGGGCCACGCGATCTTTCGTAACTACAAACTTCGCCGATAAACTCAATGCACAAACTGACAAATGTGAAGTCATTAACTTAGCAACGTTTGGTGATAATGGTTCACGTGCTAGATCGTTTAATGTCTCTACGCTTTCAGTTCACACCACTACAGGAAAGAAAAAGAACATTTCCGCACTCGTTGTTCCAAACATCTCCACTCCCACAAAGAACTTGATCACTTCGTCCCTATTGGAATTACCTCATCTACGCAATTTGAACTTAGCCCACCCCATTTCAGGAAGCGAATCCTTTGAAATATCGATTCTCATTGGCGCAGATTACTACTGGAATTTCGTGGGAGACCACATTGTTCGTGGACCCGGTCCAACTGCTGTATCGTCCATACTTGGATATTTGCTTTCCGGTTCTATTCAAGGATACAGACCTAAAAGTGTATTTGCCAATGACGCAACTATTCTACACATTGCTACTAATCCGTCTGTTGTAAACGATCAACTCCAGGATTACTGGAAGCTCGAGACAATCGGCATCACTGATAATTCCCACCCTCCAGTAATGAGCACAGACTTCGAACATTACAGAGATAATCATCTCATAATCGAAAACGGACGGTACACTGCGGGGTTACCGTGGAGACAAGACCACTCTCCTCTGCCGACTAACTTTCGTATTGCAGAGAAACGCACTCGCGCTATGACTCGTAAACTTCCACCGCATTTGTTACAAACATATGATGGAATCATTAAGAACCACAAAGCGCGGAATTTCATTGAAGAAGTTACTGACGACGATAACCTTCGCGGACCACTGAAACCGGAAATTACCCGCCTTACACCAGCTACAACCGCTGCTGCGATTGCCCGACTACGCATACAGAACATAAATGACATATGAACTATGAACTGAATATACCGATCATTTTATACTTAGCTTATTGTGACAGTTTGTGACTGTGTTGATTTTACGAATTTTCGAACTTTATATTTACTCGCATTTAATCGATATCTATCCTGAATTGTATTTTATCTTCGCATATATTTACTTTCGTATTTTACTTCAAACTATCGTTTACTTTGTTCAACTTTTTGTTCATTTTCGTTTACATGGCTATCTTTTATTTCGCGGCCCGGAGAAATATCGGAAATATAACTAGCCGAGCTTGATGTCGATTTAGGATTCTGCTTACAAATAATTTAGCCAATCATAGTACGTTAATTTTAGCCAATAAAACAACCTCATTAATAGTTATTTACCTATCAGCTCGTTTCCCTATTACCCAATCATGTACAAGGCCAAAGTCACTTTCCGCCAAAATGCAAGGAATGTAAACTTGTGTATATAAGTGGGTGTTTTGACACATCACGGCAGGAGTTTCAATAAAGTCATCTGTTATAGTGTACACCAGTTCGTCTCTTGTTATCCACCCCTGAACCTTATCTTAACAATTACACACATTGTTTTGGTGCCGAGACCAGGATTCAAGATGACCGAACGACCAACTCTTTCCAAACTGAAGGGAACTCGCTCAGCGCATCGTGGACAGATGACGAAGCTCCTGAAAAAGGCTGACGAAAACGTCAACGTTTTCCCCCAAGACAACATTGAAGGTGCGTTAGATTCACTCACTGCTATCCATAACTTGATCTCATCGAAGTACGAAAATCTTATCAACCTCGACAAACAAATAGTCGAACAGACGGAAGAAAACAGCTTGGAGGCGACTATCACCGAATCTGACGATTACCTGACCGATATATACGAGAAAAAACATATTTTATCTCGATTTATCGAAAGAAAGTCGCGAGCTGATACAAGCCCACCGACAAGCCCTGCTGTCCCCGCTGCTGCATCAACCAGTTCAGCAGTCACCATTGCCGCTTCATCCACCCAACCTAACAGAACCATAAACCTACCAAAGTTATCGCTGCCAACATTCAACGGAGATGTTCTGAAATGGGTGAGTTTTCGAGATGCATTTTATTCCGCAGTTCACAACAATCCCAATCTCGAAAAGATTCAAAGGTTTCAGTACCTGCACGCTCAATTGTCCGACGAAGCCGCTCACACTATTGAAGGATTGACACTAACAAATGAAAACTATGATCACGCAATCGACCTACTGGAACAAAGATATGGACAGAAACACAAAGTAATAAGTGCCTACATGAAAGCTTTATGGGATATGCCTAAACCATCTAGCGATTTCAACAGCTTACGAAACTTTTACGACACCTTAGAAAGTTATATTCGTGGGCTCAGTTCGCTCGGAAAATCCGAAGAATCCTATGGCGATCTACTCGTACCTATCGTCATGGAAAAGTTGCCGCCAAATACACGAAAACAGATTGCGCGAGATCATGGAAATAACGAATGGAATCTACCCGAACTTCGTCAAGCCATCCATAACGAGATGGACGCTCTACAAGCTGGATTCTCCGCCGATATTCATGACCGCGAATTGTACACAGAAACCCCGGTAACTGCGGCATTCTACACGGGAAGTGACCCGGTCACTTCACGGAAATCGATCCGGGCGAGACCGACTAAATCTATCGTATGTGCGTACTGCAAAGATGCCCATCCGTCGATACATTGTAAAGTTGTGACTGACTACAATAAATGCCTCGAGATAATAAAACGCGATCGTTTATGCTTCAACTGTCTCGGTAAACACAAAGTTACGGACTGCCAATCTAAATTCAGTTGTCGCGCCTGCAGGAGGAAACATCACACTTCTCTATGTAAGGGAACCTCTACTAGTAACGACAAGAGCTCCACTACTCCAGTAACTCAAACACACGTGAACTTTACTACTGCCGCGAATACCGCATCGCATAATGGACCAGTTTTATTGAAAACCGCCGTAACTGAAGTATTCGCGGGTAGCGAAACTGCAACGGCTACGATATTGTTCGATGAAGGGGCCACGCGATCTTTCGTAACTACATACTTCGCCGATAAACTCAATGCACAAACTGACAAATGTGAAGTCATTAACTTAGCAACGTTTGGTGACAATGGTTCACGTGCTAGATCGTTTAATGTCTCTACGCTTTCAGTTCACACCATTACAGGAAAGAAAAAGAACATTTCCGCACTCGTTGTTCCAAACATCTCCACTCCCACAAAGAACTTGATCACTTCGTCCCTATTGGAATTACCTCATCTACGCAATTTGAACTTAGCCCACCCCATTTCAGGAAGCGAATCCTTTGAAATATCGATTCTCATTGGCGCAGATTACTACTGGAATTTCGTGGGAGACCACATTGTTCGTGGACCCGGTCCAACTGCTGTATCGTCCATACTTGGATATTTGCTTTCCGGTTCTATTCAAGGATACAGACCTAAAAGTGTATTTGCCAATGACGCAACTATTCTACACATTGCTACTAATCCGTCTGTTGTAAACGATCAACTCCAGGATTACTGGAAGCTCGAGACAATCGGCATCACTGATAATGCCCAACCTCCAGTAATGAACACAGACTTCGAACATTACAGAGATAATCATCTCAAAATCGAAAACGGACGGTACACTGCGGGGTTACCGTGGAGACAAGACCACCCTCTTCTGCCTACTAACTTTCGTATTGCAGAGAAACGCACTCGCGCTATGACTCGTAAACTTCCACCGCATTTGTTACAAACATATGATGGAATCATTAAGAACCACAAAGCGCGGAATTTCATTGAAGAAGTTACTGACGACGATAACCTTCGCGGACCACTGAAACCGGAAATTACCCGCCGTACACCAGCTACAACCGCTGCTGCGATTGCCCGACTACGCATACAGAACATAAATGACATATGAACTATGAACTGAATATACCGATCATTTTATACTTAGCTTATTGTGACAGTTTGTGACTGTGTTGATTTTACGAATTTTCGAACTTTATATTTACTCGCATTTAATCGATATCTATCCTGAATTGTATTTTATCTTCGCATATATTTACTTTCGTATTTTACTTCAAACTATCGTTTACTTTGTTCAACTTTTTGTTCATTTTCGTTTACATGGCTATCTTTTATTTCGCGGCCCGGAGAAATATCGGAAATATAACTAGCCGAGCTTGATGTCGATTTAGGATTCTGCTTACAAATAATTTAGCCAATCATAGTACGTTAATTTTAGCCAATAAAACAACCTCATTAATAGTTATTTACCTATCAGCTCGTTTCCCTATTACCCAATCATGTACAAGGCCAAAGTCACTTTCCGCCAAAATGCAAGGAATGTAAACTTGTGTATATAAGTGGGTGTTTTGACACATCACGGCGGGAGTTTCAATAAAGTCATCTGTTATAGTGTACACCAGTTCGTCTCTTGTTATCCACCCCTGAACCTTATCTTAACAATTACACACATTGTTTTGGTGCCGAGACCAGGATTCAAGATGACCGAACGACCAACTCTTTCCAAACTGAAGGGAACTCGCTCAGCGCATCGTGGACAGATGACGAAGCTCCTGAAAAAGGCTGACGAAAACGTCAACGTTTTCCCCCAAGACAACATTGAAGGTGCGTTAGACTCACTCACTGCTATCCATAACTTGATCTCATCGAAGTACGAAAGTCTTATCAACCTCGACAAACAAATAGTCGAACAGACGGAAGAAAACGACTTGGAGGCGACTATCACCGAATCTGACGATTACCTGACCGATATATACGAGAAAAAACATATTTTATCTCGATTTATCGAAAGAAAGTCGCGAGCTGATACAAGCCCACCGGCAAGCCCTGCAGTCCCCGCTGCTGCATCAACCAGTCCAGCAGTCACCATTGCCGCTCCATCCACCCAACCTAACAGAACCATAAACCTACCAAAGTTATCGCTGCCAACATTCAACGGAGATGTTCTGAAATGGGTGAGTTTTCGAGATGCATTTTATTCCGCAGTTCACAACAATCCCAATCTCGAAAAGATTCAAAGGTTTCAGTACCTACACGCTCAATTGTCCGACGAAGCCGCTCACACTATTGAAGGATTGACACTAACAAATGAAAACTATGATCACGCAATCGACCTACTGGAACAAAGATATGGACAGAAACACAAAGTAATAAGTGCCTACATGAAAGCTTTATGGGATATGCCTAAACCATCTAGCGATTTCAACAGCTTACGAAACTTTTACGACACCTTAGAAAGTTATATTCGTGGGCTCAGTTCGCTCGGAAAATCCGAAGAATCCTATGGCGATCTACTCGTACCTATCGTCATGGAAAAGTTGCCGCCAAATACACGAAAACAGATTGCGCGGGATCATGGAAATAACGAATGGAATCTACCCGAACTTCGTCAAGCCATCCATAACGAGATGGACGCTCTACAAGCTGGATTCTCCGCCGATATTCATGACCGCGAATTGTACACAGAAACCCCGGTAACTGCGGCATTCTACACGGGAAGTGACCCGGTCACTTCACGGAAATCGATCCGGGCGAGACCGACTAAATCTATCGTATGTGCGTACTGCAAAGATGCCCGTCCGTCGATACATTGTAAAGTTGTGACTGACTACAATAAACGCCTCGAGATAATAAAACGCGATCGTTTATGCTTCAACTGTCTCGGTAAACACAAAGTTACGGACTGCCAATCTAAATTCAGTTGTCGCGCCTGCAGGAGGAAACATCACACTTCTCTATGTAAGGGAACCTCTACGAGTAACGACACGAGCTCCGCTACTCCAGTAACTCAAACACACGTGAACTTTACTACTACCGCGAATACCGCGTCGCATAATGGACCCGTTTTATTGAAAACCGCCGTAACTGAAGTATCCGCGGGTAGCGAAACTGCAACGGCTACGATATTGTTAGATGAAGGGGCCACGCGATCTTTCGTAACTACAAACTTCGCCGATAAACTCAATGCACAAACTGACAAATGTGAAGTCATTTCCGCACTCGTTGTTCCAAACATCTCCACTCCCACAAAGAACTTGATCACTTCGTCCCTATTGGAATTACCTCATCTACGCAATTTGAACTTAGCCCACCCCATTTCAGGAAGCGAATCCTTTGAAATATCGATTCTCATTGGCGCAGATTACTACTGGGATTTCGTGGGAGACCTCATTGTTCGTGGACCCGGTCCAACTGCTGTATCGTCCATACTTGGATATTTACTTTCCGGTCCTATTCAAGGATACAGACCTAAAAGTGTATTTGCCAATGACGCAACTATTCTACACACTACTACTATTCCGTCTGTTGTAAACGATCAACTCCAGGATTACTGGAAGCTCGAGACAATCGGCATCACTGATAATACCCAACCTCCAGTAATGAACACAGACTTCGAACATTACAGAGATAATCATCTCAAAACCGAAAACGGACGGTACACTGCGGGGTTACCGTGGAGACAAGACCACCCTCCTCTGCCTACTAACTTTCGTATTGCAGAGAAACGCACTCGCGCTATGACTCGTAAACTTCCACCGCATTTGTTACAAACATATGATGGAATCATTAAGAACCAGAAAGCGCGGAATTTCATTGAAGAAGTTACTGACGACGATAACAAACGCGGGCCACTGGAACCGGAAATTACCCGTCGTACACCAGCTAGAACCGCTGCTGCGATTGCCCGACTACGCATACAGGACATAAATGACATATGAACTATGAACTGAATATACCGAACATTTTATACTTAGCTTATTGTGACAGTTTGTGACTGTGTTGATTTTACGAATTTTCGAACTTTATATTTACTCGCATTTAATCGATATCTATCCTGAATTGTATTTTATCTTCGCATATATTTACTGTACTTTCGTATTTTACTTCAAACTATCGTTTACTTTGTTCAACTTTTGTTCATTCTCGTTTACATGACTATCTTTTATTTCGCGGCCCGGAGAAATATCGGAAATATAACTAGCCGAGCTTGATGTCGATTTAGGATTCTGCTTACAAATAATTTAGCCAATCATAGTACGTTAATTTTAGCCAATAAAACAACCTCATTAATAGTTATTTACCTATCAGCTCGTTTCCCTATTACCCAATCATGTACAAGGCCAAAGTCACTTTCCGCCAAAATGCAAGGAATGTAAACTTGTGTATATAAGTGGGTGTTTTGACACATCACGGCGGGAGTTTCAATAAAGTCATCTGTTATAGTGTACACCAGTTCGTCTCTTGTTATCCACCCCTGAACCTTATCTTAACAATTACACACAGACACTGCACACATAAAGAATCATCTTAATTCTATTTACTGAGTTGTAAAATCATGCATTCAAGG